TTTGTATTTCCCAGCCCTCATTCTTGTTGCCGGGTATATGATGCTGTAGGCTTGGCTCCAAACTGGCAGCGTGCCTGCTTTCTTTCCTGTGTGCCTGGCCCTCGATCTGTCCAAGGCTTGCTCAGCCTCTGAGGCAGAGCATAGGGCCAATTCTGTACTTCCCCTAATACTGTTCTCTGGGGCAGGACGTGGGGCAGGGTATCTTCTCCCCAGGGATGTTCTGTTTAAGTGGCTTCTAAGAGGATGAGCAGGATCCAAGTCTACCTCTGCTGTACCCATCTTTTGGGTCTTTTGTTTTTCTCCTTCTGTGGGTTATGAGCCTAATCTTACCTTCTCCTGGCCTCTGACTTCATATTCCCAGGTCCGTATTTCTCTGAGCCCCAGTGGCTGGAGTAGAGTTGACTGTTCATCCTCTGAACAAGTCATAGACATGAGGGATGGGTACTGAGCAGAACCAAGAGAAGGAATGTTGGCCCTTTTCTAAAGGAATATCTCATCTGCCAGCATTATTCGGGGTGGGTGAGGTTAGGTGGAAGGGGTGCACTGCCTTTTGCTGGGAGCTATCTTGGCCTTGAGATAGAAGCAAAGGGACCACCGCCTATGGGAAATCGCCCCTCACTTGACCTGTCTGAGCCCTGGTCCAAGGAGGGCTAGACCATTCATTCTGTATGAGCCCAGCTCTGGAATAGGAGCCATAGTAACAAAAGCCTCTCTTTTTAGCACTGCTCCTCGAGGGTGGGAGGCCCTCTCTCCCTCAGCCTCCACATGTCTCAGGGCTGCCTTCTCTGGCTGCACGTCCATGGTTGGATGCTGCATTTGAACCACTGATGTACTTAAGGTGCAATAAAGCTGCTTTGATTTGGTTTCCTCAGTCATCTCCCAATAATTGTCTCCTGGGTCCTATTTTTCTCTTACCTCTCCTCCTAGTCCTCTGTTCCTGCACCTCAATAAAGCAGGGGAGAGGCTTTGGGTCAGCTGGGGAATCAAGAGAGTTGAAGAAAGGAGGTGTCACTGAAATACTCTCCTTGCAGCATCTGTGTGTGTGCGCGCACATGTGTGCGTGTGTGTATCTCCATCCGTGCCTGACCATCAGCTCCAGGGTTTTCCCCACACCACTTCAGGGCTGAGCTCAGCTGCACAAAGGGACTGGGTGTGAAGCCAGGGGGGACTGTCTCTAATCCTGTTGTAGATCCCATCATGTCTGTGGGCTAGATGTGTGTGTTTGGGAGGAAGGGATTGTTAGGCAGTATTTGTTTGTAAAGCCACTTGCTCTTCAGATAATACTTGCACTAACTTCTATTGATGAAGCAGTGTGAGCCCCAGCAAAGTTCTTTCCCAAAGTGTCTTTGAAGCCAAGAGCCCATTGAAGGGAAGAAAGGCCGGGAGAGGGGATTAGTTTGTTCAGCAGCTGTGAATTTCAGTGGGAGGTTGATGAACTCCGAGGTCTTTGTTTAAATTAACGCGGGAGGGGGAGGGAGCCACTGTTGGAGCGAGAGCCCCACTTGGGGCCCTGAACTAACACAAGGAGAAGTCTGAGCTGCAGGGAGCTGTGTACTGACTGCGAGGACTTTTCCCAAACACTTTCGGAAGAGGTGCTGTGAGAAGAGAAGGGGGCGGAGTGGGGGATTAGCATGTGAAATGAAGTTTTCATTGACTCCCGTGGGGGTAGAAAGCTATTTTAATGGCGTTTTGTTCTCCTATTTTCTCTTCTTGAGCTCTTTAGAGGTATTGTTTTGCTAAGGCAGGCTTTCTTCCCCCTTCTTTCCAGTCTGTGGATTGCCTCTATGGGAGCCAACATAAATATTTCTCCTCCAGGAATGCGGGTTAATTAAAAGGAAATGAATGAGTGGAAGCATCCAATCCAGACCCACAATAGGCGAGTGCCCTGTCCTGCCCTCCCCTCCTACCACCACTAGCACCACCAGCGCTGAGCCTGACCCTGTCTCTGTCTCTGCCCTAACCTGCTGCTAAGGCCAATTGAGGCTCAGATTCTTTTCAAGAAAAGAAAGCCCTGCCTGTGTGTAGGCTTTCGGGCCAGGGACAGGAAGGAGACAGTGTTTTACACCATCTCCACCCCCCACCGCCGGAGTCCTTGTCACTTCTCAGGACCTCCCTCTGTTTCTGTCCCAAAGAGCACACAAGAGAGAAGGGGCCTGCGTTTCACTGCCCACCCCATGGTAACGTACTAGCCGATGGAACAAGCCAGACAGCGTTCTCAGCACCAGTTTAAATCTACAAAACGGAAGGTTTGACTAGCTGACTGGAAGGTGTTTTCCCAAGCAGCCATTCTGGAGTTGTCCACGTCTGTAAGGGGAACACAGCCCTGGTGATTGAGTCTGAGAGAGAATCTAAACTCCATGAATGCAGGGAGAGCAATGTAGTGTTTACCACTGTTTCCACTCTGGTGTTTGTTGATGAATGAATGGATAATGCAGAAAGTGTGTGTGTAGCGGGGGGCGGGGAGAGAAGCAATACAAATGTAAGGTAACTCGGCAATGTTTTCTTTATAGAACTTGAATGTATCTGGTATCAAATATATCCATTTGGGAATACAAACAACCTGTGAAAGAACTTCCTGGCAGTGTGACATGTTTTGGGTATTGACCTGAAGTTATCAAATATGAAGGACAAAAGTTCTCCTGCTTTTATGCTGAGAGACTCCCCTGGAGAATGCAGCTTTCCTTTACAAAATCATGCTTTTTTAGATTTTGTAGTTGTCTTGCCAGGTTTCTTACTGTACACTGTCAAATACTCCGCCACGTGGGACAGCCAGGTTGGTATATGCTGCTGCTTGATGAAGGAAGAAGGGCAAGTTGGGAGACTCAAGAGACCCAGATCAAAGCTGAGGGAAGCCGTAGCCGGTTTGGCTCAGTGAATGGAGCGTCGGCCTGTGGACTGAAAGGTCCCGGGTTCGATTCCGGTCAGGGGCATGTACTTTGGTTGTGGGCACATCTCCAGTGGGGAATGTGCAGGAGGCAGCTGATCGATGTTTCTCTCTCATCGATGTTTCTAACTCTCTATCTCTCTCCCTTCCTCTCTGTAAACAATCAATAAAATATTAAAAAAAAAAAAAAAAAAAAGCTGAGGGAAGAAGCAAAGGCGTTTTGCTGGTGGAGCTGGGAATACAGCACTAGGGAACCCTGAAGGGAAGTGTGTCCCCTATAAGGAAGGAAGGAGAACCGCTCTTCTCATAAGTGTTAGGACCAGAAGAGGTATAGGAATGAGGCCAGGGCCTTGGGGTCTGATCTGGCCACTGTCTCAGTTTGGAATATGGGAGCCCTTACACTCACAGGTTGGCCCCTAGAGCCTTGGCCCCTGTTACCTACTTGGGGCCACACCATCTCTGTGCTTTCTCCTGCTCTGGGAGAAGCGGGATGAGGTTGTCTAGCATCTGACCAGTTCTGCTCCCAAAGAGCAGACCCACGGCCGGCCTAAAGGAAGAGAGTTGGCTGGGAAGCTCCTGGGGCTGCAGAGTGACAGTCGGGATTGGCTCTTCCCTTCCCATAGCCCTCTGTCCTAAGCAGGTCCCTGCTGTACTGCTTCTGGGACAAGAACCAGGAGACTCGAGCACCACAGCAGCATGCTCTCACTACTGAGTGGACGTGTTAGTGGAAGATTTATGTGGCTGATTGACTGACTAATCCTTGGCAGATTCGCCTCAGGCCAGAATAACTATTTAGGCCATCAGGGAAGTGAGGCTCTACAGAGGATGGTATTCTGGCAAGGTGGGACCAAGGGGAGGGCCTAGAGCAGTGATGGCGAACCTTTTGAGCTCGGCATGTCAGCATTTTGAAAAACCCTAACTTTGGTGCCGTGTCACATATAGAAATTTTTTGATATTTGCAACCATAGTAAAACAAAGATTTATATTTTTGATATTTATTTTATATATTTAAATGCCATTTAACAAAGAAAAATCAACCAAAAAAATGAGTTCGCGTGTCACCTCTGACACGCATATCATAGGTTCGCCATCACTGGCCTAGAGGTTGTATCTTCCACCCGCCTTCCTCTATGTCCCCAAGAATAAGTTCGATCCCTGGAAAAAAGGGCACATATCACAGCGACTGCAATAAATCAAAAATCCAAGGTACTGAACTTCCTATTAGTTCTAGTTTCATGGCAGAAAGTTTACTTATTAAAGGAAGGTATCCAAGGCCCTGAATCCTGCCTGTTTGAGAACCAGGTTAGTGAAAAGGAAGGGTCCCAGCTCCTCCTTTCTTATACCTGCCTTTAGAGGTGCACAACCCAATGGGAAACTGGCTTTATGAAGCTCAGTCTTGGCTCGGAGGAACACGGATCCTGTGGGGAAGGAGAAGAGGTAGAGATGGTTGCTAGGGGGCAATGGGTTAGGGGCAGGGAGGGTAACTTAAAGGGTAGGAAATGACTGGCCATCTGACCTTACATAGTTCCTAGACCTTGTGGGTATGTGTCTGGAGCACCTTGGTGATTGTCAGGAAGTCATTGTCCCACCGGTAAAGTCCATTAGACACGGAGTCACAGGATGAGTAGCACCCTGGGTTTTCAGCAGGCAGCACTCTAGGGTACCCACTTTCCCCATCTTCAATCCTTGCCCCAAGAACCGGTCCCTCAACACATGCTTTTCCTGGGTCAGTTTTCTCACAGTTTCTCTTTAGGGAAAGAGGGTAAGGGAGAAGGGGAGAGGAAAGCATTAGAGATTCCTGGGGAGTGGCTCTGCAGAAGGAATATGTAAGTGATAGAGACCTGGCAGAAAAGGGGGCGGGGCGCAAAAAAGGACAAGAGAGAAGCCAAGGCTCCCCCCACCCCCAGCCCCCTGTGAGCCCTGTATATTTGAGCAGGGGTCTTCCTGTTCCTACGGCTCCATAGGCTAGGTCCAGCGTTAGGGCAACTAGGACGGGGAGGAGGACCATCTATTCTCATCCTCGTCCAAAGAAGATCAATAGCTCAAACCTCAGAAAGTTCTCAGAGTAAGTGTGGGCCGTGAGGTCAAATGGGGAAAGGAGCGGGAGAGGAGACCCTTAGGGTTTTCTCGAGGGTTTGTGCGCAGCGCCCCCCCGCGGCCGCTCCGCGCGGCTGCAGAAGTACTTGGTGACGCGCCGGCGGCACTGCTCGCAGCGGACCGCGCAGCACCAGTGGAACTTGCAGTTGCAGCTGGACACGGTCTCGGCGCGGCGCTCCTCCACCGCCAGCCCGCAGTCCCCGCAGAGCCGGCGGCAGCTGCGGCGCTCCCAGCGGCCTAGGGAGCGCCCGCGCCGCAGGCACTCTCGGCCCTCCGTGCCCAGCAGGCCTAGCGTTTTGTTCTCCAGGCAGTAGTCTGGGGAGTCCTCCAAGTGCACCAGCTCCCGCGTGGAGATGGAGCGAAAGGTGTCGGCGATGGCGCCGCGTCCTGCCGCGCTGTTGCCAGCACCTTGCAGCAGGTCCACCTTGAGAGCTGCGTGGTACTTCTCCTTCAGGTGCGCGCCCACCTCGCGGAACTCCGGCAGCTGCAGCCAGCAGGTCTGCGTGGTGCAGCTGCCAGACACGCCGTGGCACTTACACGTGCGTTTCATGGTGCCCTTCACCGCCTGGGGGGAGAGGAGTGAGCGGGCCAGGGATTTAGCGCGTGGGGAGTCTCTGCTTCTTGCGGGGGATGGCGGGGGGGACGTTGCTAGGCGTCTAGTACCTCCTACGCCTCAGTACCTCGTTTTCCCAAACTTAAATGAAGTGAGGAGTTGTCCTCACTTAGGCGTGGTAATGGATGGAGCCAGCTGCCAACCCCAGGGGCTGCAAGACTCACCTTGCGGCCGGCCTCATTGTTGTGCAAGTTCATGGCTGCCCGGGCATCCTGTCCGGTCTCCAGGGCATCAACGAACTGCTTGGATATTGCCTCTCCGAAGCCCACGTTGTCACTGCAGCCTCCCCACAGCCAGCCTTGACCCCCTGGAAAAGAGCAGGGGAGAGGGACGGTCGTTGAGCAGCTGTTTCTAATTGGGAATCTGAGATTAAGGTTGGGTGAATGCCTTGTCTCCAGATTAGTTTCAGCCTAGACTTGTTTTTGCCACTTTTGAGCGCCCACGTGTAGCCTATCATCTGCTCAGGACTCCATGACGTAAGTAGTTGCCGAGTGGATTCGCTGCAAGGTGCCTGCGCGCCCATCTTCATACAGTTTCTGGCCTTTGGGCAGAGTGTGCATGTGCCCGTCAGCGACTGACTTCCAGGAAGGACAAAATGGCTGGAAGGGAGGTGAGGAACGCGCGAGCACTGAGAGAGGGAGAGAGAGAGAGAGAGAGAGAGAGAGAGAGAGAGAGAGAGAGGGGGGGGGGGGGGAGAGGAGCAACTGAAATAATATGGAACAACTAAGTTGGAAGTTGAGCCGCAGGGCAGGGAGGATTGGGACAGTGGAGGAAGAGTGGAAAGGAGACAGACAGACAATATGGAAGGATGTCCGCACTGTGTTTGAGAGAGTGACCGATCGACTCTGTGGGGAATGTTCTTCCTTTATCATTATTGTGTTAAATTAAGGAAACTACTCAGTAGGTGAGGGAGAGCCCGTGCAGCATTCAACCTGGTTTGACACATTAGGGTTTGGGCTTAAACTGGTTCACCCTGATTTTCCTCAGATTTAGAAGAATACAATTCCTCTGCACCCCACCCAGCTACCCATCAAGCTTTTCATTCTTTAAGTGAACTCTACCGGCCTGCCCTACCCACCCCCAATGTCACTACTCACCCAGCTGCCCGTTGCGGGAGTCATCACAGCCACAGTTGTCAAAATCCCCAAGGCTGCAGTTCCGAGTCAGAGTGTACATGACGCCGGCAGAACTGATGGCGTGTACGAAGGCTGTCTCCCGGTTAGCTGGCAGGAACCAGAAATTGGGTGAGTTAGAGGGAGGAGTCGCAACCCAAAGAAACACCAGCCATGCCACCTCCCTTTAATACAGTCATTGTCCTCCGATCCCAGCTCTACCCTATTTCCCCACCTTTATAATGTTCCTTACTCTCCAGGGTCCACTCCAGCCCTGGTCTCAGCCCTTCCTTTCTCCCCTCCCATCTTTTCAAGTCATACCCTTTGTGATTAGGTGGCTAGATAAAGGATTTCGGTGGGAAAGAGCCTGAGGAAGAGAGGAATCTGAAGGCCAGGCTATCAAGAACCCATCCCACTTCCTCCTGGAACACTGAAGTCTAAGAGGCATGCGCCACCAGTTCTGAAAGAACCTCTGACTGCCAGCCCTTATTTACTGGCATGGCCACTCTCTCTTCTCCAGGGAAATCTGGTCTCCAGGTCTGTCCCCACTTGCCTTGTACCTGGCTGCTGAGCCTGCTGAAGGAAGGGGCTGAGAGGAATGAGGGATTATGACCCTACCTACCTCCTGATGTTATTTATATAGTGGGGAAGCCATTAGCCAATTGATGAGGTCCATTTGTTGAACAGTGAGGGTTTGGGGGAAGAAAGAGAAAGCTCTTAGGTAGGAAAAAGGAGCTAGAGATGGAACAGAGAAGATCCCAGAGAGGGAGATCACCTGAGAGTAAAGACCAGGTGAGGAGTTAGGGTATAGAGGAGGCAGGGGCCATCCCTGGGGAGTGGGGCTCTAACCTGTGGCCAGGGGGTCCAGGGAGCTGTGGCCGAGGCTTTCCTTACCACTGCGCAGGCCGCCATGGCTGGACAGCTGCAGGGCTCTCTCAGGGCAGTTCCAGCGGTCCCAGGCGAACTGGTATTTGCATTCTTCAATCCCGCTCTGGGCACCAGCTGCCACGCTGCTGGAGTAGATCAGGTAAGCCTTCGGGGACACAGGGGTCAAAATTCAGACTTACAAAAGCTGGACTTGGAGACACTTGCCCCTAAAGTGGCCAAGCCCCTCTCTTCCTGCCCACTTTCCCATCCCTCCAAAATAATGACAGAGTAAGCACTTTAAATGTGTTGTCTCATTTAACATCACAAATAACCTTGTCAAATAGGAACCATTTTATAGATTAGGAATCTGAGGCTCAGAGAGGTGAAGTAAAGCAATTTGCCCAAGATCCCACAGCTAGCAAATTATAGAAGTAGGAAGAAAATTCAGTTTATCAGACACTAGACCTGACTTTACTCACTATACTATTATGCCTCTCCAAAGTGATTCCCAAATTACATAATTCATGAATTTTCGCTGTTCTCATCCCATTACCATCTTAGAAAATAATATTTTGGAACTGGAAATGTCCTTAGAGATAATGCAGTACAATAGCAGCTTTGTAAAGACTGCATCCCTCCCCTCCCTGAGAAGGTTGTGTGACTGCAGCCTGATGCTGTGAAAGGCTGTCAACTTGTCTAGCTTTAGAAATTCGGCTGTAAATTTAGAATCAATACTCGTGAGTTCTTGCCTTGGCTCTGACACTAGTCTGCTGTGTGGTGTGGGTTGTGTCACTAATCCCCTCTGTGCCACAGTCTTTGTCTGTAATAGGTACAGCACAATAAAAAGTGTGGATATAATGAAAAGAAATTAGCACGTATAGTGTTCAGTTAAGAAGCTAAGATTAGTGAAATCTAAACAAATCAAAGGGATATTTTTCTTACCTTTGGACCAGTCATCAGAAAATTGTTCACTGACCTAGAAGAGAACAAAATCACAGAGTGTAATGGAGATGCACCAACTCATTTCTGCTGCCAAGAGTTGTAAGGATTACTTTAGAAAATAGAATTGATGGGAAGAAAGGGGAAATGGTTTGCCAAGGAAAAATTAGGCATAAGGAGTCTACTAAAGACCACTTATTTAATAAAAAAGAATATGTATTATGCTCCTTTTCAAATACCAAAAGTATTGGGAGTAACGTTTGGTCATTATTTTGCCATGGGTGGGAATAGAGCTAGCATTAACTCATTACTGTGTAATAGATGCTCTACTCTCAGTATTTTACATGTTGATTTTGTTAAATCCTTACTATTGCAGGCATTATTATCCCTATTTTACAAATAGGGAATCTGGGACTCAAAAAAGTATTTAAGGTCACCCAGCTAAAAAATTATTGAATCAGGATTGGAATCCAGGACTACCTGGATTCTGAGGAGGGTAGTTCAGTTCTCTAATCAGAAAGATGTAAATAGTAGGATATCTTTCTAGGGATTGAATTGTAATTAAAGTCCAAAAATAAATAATCTGACTCTAGAAAATAGCTAGGCTGTTCCTTTCAAAACTAAAAATAGATTTGTCATACAACTTAGCAGTTCCACTCTTGGGCATTTATCCTTGAGAAATGAGGACTTATTTTTATCCAGGATCTTATACTTGGATGCTCATAGCACTTTATTCATAATAACCCAAAATTTGAAAGTGTTTAAATGTTTTTCAAAGCGTGAGTGGTTATAATAACTGTGGTACAAGGCCTGGCTGGTGTGGCTCAGTTGGTTGAGCATTGTCCCATGCACCAAAAGGTTGCTGGTTCAATTCCCCAGTCAGGGGCACATGCCCAGGTTGTGGGCTCCATCCATAGCAGGGGACATGCAGGAGGCAGCTGATCGATATTTTGCTTATCACATTAATGTTTTTCCCTCTTTCTCTCTCCCTTCCTCTCTCTAAAAGAAAATCAATGAAAATATTAATATCATGGTGGTACATCCATACAATGGAATACTACTCAGGAATGAAAAGGAATAAACATCTGATAAATGCAACAACTTGAATGAATCTCAAGGCAATTATACTGAGTGATCAAAGCCAATCTCAACAGGACACATACTGCATGATTTCACTTATGTAATAATTGTGAAATACATAATTATAGAGCTGGAGAATAGATTAGTGGTTCCCAGGGGTTAAAGAGGAGGGATGCATGTGGCTACAATAACACCAGAGAGTTTTGTGATGGTAGAATTAAGTGTCTTGATTGCGATATGATTATGCAAAGCTATACATGTGGCAAAATTGCATTGAGCTATACATACACACCGAGTGTATGTAAAATTGGTGGTCTGAATAAACTTTATAAATATTGTACTATAGAACTTTATAAATATTATAGGATAGTTGTACGATGTTACCATTGGCAGAGGCTTGTGTAGGACTTCCCTGCACATTCCTTTGCAATCTTCTGCCAGTCTATAATTATATAAAAATTAAAAATTCAATGTATACATACTTGTATATAACCTGGCAAATGGACTTCAGGATAGGCATTTGAAAATTAACCCAAATATATTACCTATTATTGCTCTTTTCCCATTATAATGGAAGAAAGTAACATGGGAATCATTATGTATTGTTCCATAAAAGTTGGTGTACCCTGCAATTGTAAAGGCCAATAAGATGCTGGCCATCATCAGAAGTGAAAAGAGCTTAGCCGACTCTCTTCACATCAAACACAAATAACACCTAAAATGTGGGTGGTTTTTGAAAAACAGTATCATAAACTGGGAGGCTGCCATGTGAGAGATGAAAAAGATTTGGAAAGAAATGTAACAGGTTTTTAGAAAATCATAAAAAACTACATAGTCAACAAAACTTTAGAGCTTGGTAAGGGGAAAAGGGTATGTGAAAAATACAGGAGTAAACATGTTTAAACATGAAGATGAAAGATCCTGATTTGATGGAGAGCTCCTATGACTGCTGTTCTCCCTGTGTTAAGTTAGGTCATTCTCTCTTACCTCTGCACTTATTTTTATTAACAATTTATTGTCTGTCACTGCTCTTATGTTCACATTGCAACTCCATGTTTTGTCAGTCATTTTCAATTCTCACTTTTGTTAAATTAAAGAGAGATAAATGAGCAAACAAACAAACAAGCAAACAAACAAAAAACCCTCCTAAAACTTCAAAGCTTGGCAGGCAAAATTAAGTTGACTAAAAAGTACTACTATCTTGGGAGTGGTAGTACCAGCAAAGAACAAAAATAAATTCAAAACAATTTAAATGAATTCATAACTGCTGAAGCCATTATGGGTTTGCAGATAAATTTCTGATCCTGAAAGAGCGGTGTCAGAGGAGTCAGCCAGGCCCTCTGCTTGCTCTGGCTCCGGACGGTGTTTTTTCTGTTAGATAACTGCCAAAGACGCTTGGACATTACCAGGCAAGACAGAGGCTAGTTCCCATCCCCCAGGACGGACAGCGTCAGGAAAGAAAGCAAAGCAACAAAACAAATATCAAGTGGTAGACAGAGGAGAAAGCTCTGCCATGAGCATGGGTGAAGAGACTCCCTGTGAGAGGATGCGAGGTTGGAATCGCGGGGAGTGTTGCGCAGAATACTGGAGGACTCTTCCTTCCTCAAGGGCGCCGCAATATGTAAAGTTTTGTATGACGTGCTGGTCTAGTTCAATTGATTAATCAGATTTAATTGAGCAACTGCCATGAGACACGACTGCCAGCCTTAGTTGGACAGCATTCCCATAAACTGACTTGTGTTGGAAACCCTGAGTTATTGGCAGACATATTTGAACCATTGTGGCTGACTTGCTCATAACCAAAATAGCCAGTATTAAGAAACGACTTGTCGTGATAGATGTTAACTAGACGCATTGTAATGATCAGTTCACAATATACACACACATCAAATCATTATGTTGTCCACCTGAAACACAGAAGGGCAACTATCTACAGAGATAGGGGAATAGGAGAAAAACCCTTATTCATGCCTGTGGTCTTAACTACCGTGATTATGCGATGTCTCCCAAATCTTTACCTCCAGCCCTTTCATCTTAAGATCCAGAGCTGCATTACCAAATGAATGCTAGACTTCTCCACTGAGAATGTTTCAAATTAAGAAGACAGTATGTCCAAATGCCAACTTATGCCCAGCCAGTGTGGCTCAGTGGTTGAGCATCGATTTATGAACCAGGAGGGCACGGTTCAATTCCCCGTCAGGGCATATGACCAGATTGTGGGCTTGATCCCCAGTGTCGGGTGTGCAGGAAGCAGCCGATCAATGATTCTCTCTCATCATTGAAGTGTTTGTTTTTTTTAATATGTTTTATTGATTTTGTACAGAGAGGAAGGGAGAGGGATAGAAAGAAACATCGATGAGATAGAAACACCCGTCAGCCGCCTCCTGCACGCCCCCCACTGGGGATGTGCCCGCAACCAAGGTACATGCGCTTGACCGGAACCGAACCCGGGACCCTTGAGTCCGCAGGCCGATGCTCTATCCACTGAGCCAAACCGGTTCTGGCTCATTGATGTTTTTATCTCTCTCTTCCTCTCCCTTCTTCTCTGAAATCAATTTAAAAATATATTTTAAAAAATATAAATAAAAGCCAACTAATATTCCCTGTTGAACTTGACACTTCTCCTGACTTGACTATGTTTTGTTAATAGAGCCACTATTTCACCACATCTCTCTCAATCCATTTTCACTATCTAATCAGTAAGACTTGCATGTTTTACCTCCATTATACTTTTCACTTACCAGCTCCCTTTTTTCTCTCTCACTTTCTCAGGAATTCTCACTGTCATATCTTATTTGTGGCCTCCAACCTAGACAATTGTAGAAGCCCTACTAATTGACCTCTCTAGTTATAATTGTTACCCCATTCCAATCTAGTGTATAGTCAGTCTGCAGCTAGATCAATCTTCTTAAAGCCTAATTCTGATATCCTGCTCAAGTATCTTCCTTAGTTTTTCAACTCTTGCACTCAAGGCTCTCCATAATCTGGCCATACATGTGTTTTCAGCTTAATTTCCCATGAAATATCCCTACTTGTCCAATCGTCTAGTCCAGTGGTCGGCAAACCGCAGCTCACGAGCCACATGTGGCTCTTTCACAAAATACCACGTGCGGGTGCACATGTACAGTGCAAAGTTGACTTAAAACTTTAAGTAAAGTTTTTTAAGTTAATTTTAGGAAACGTGGAATGAAAGAAGATGTAGTGTCGAGGATTGAGAAAGGTATGTTGAGATGGTTTGGACATATAGAGAGGATGAACGAAAGGAGGTAGACGAAACAAGTATACAAGACGAGTGTGGATGGGAGAGTTGGAAGGGGTCGACCTCAGCGAACATACTTCAATCAGACTGAGAACATTTTTTAGCAAAGGCCAGCTTAGGAGTACCCTAATTAAGTTAATCACAATGTACCTTCCTATATAGTTTAATTTAAAAAATTTGGCTCTCAAAAGAAATTTCCATCGTTGTCCTGTTGGTATTTGGCTCTGCTGACTAATGAGTTTGCCGACCACTGGTCTAGTCAAACTGAAGCAGTTGCTGTTCCCAATACCATGCATTTATGCCTCTAAACCGTTGCTCACACTGTTCTCTTAAATCTTGCCTAGTCTTAGTGTTTTCAACCAATGGTGCTGGAACAACCCCTGGATGTCCACATGCAAAAGAATGAAGTCGGTCCCATATCTCACACCATATACAAGAATTAACTCAAAATAGATCAGAGACCTAAATGTAGGCACTAAAACTATAAAACTCTTAGAAGAAAATATAGATATTAAGTTTTCGTGATCTGAGGTCAAGCAATGTTTTGTTTGTTTGTTTGTGAATCTGATACTAAAAACACAAGTGACCAAAGAAAACATTGATAAACTGGATTTCATCAAAATTAAAAAGTTTTGTGCTTCCAAAGTCACCAAAAAGGGAAGTAAAAAGACAGCCCACTGAATGGAAATATTTG